GTAAAAGGTAAGACAAACGTGCAAAGTAAGCACGTACTTGGGCGAAAAAGTTTTCTTGCGTTCAAAAAAAATTGTATTCAAAGAAGGTAACAACAATGCACGTTCTTACTTAGGTAAGGCAACAAAGTTAGAGAGGCAAACTTCATTTCATTCATGCAATTCATACCTTTATGTATTAACTAATACTGTTTCTGTTATTATTTATTTGCCTATTTAAGAATTGAACAAATGATTGAAGAACATCGGTCTTGCATTAACAGCCGGTTTAGACATAAATAATAAGAGAGAATGTAAAAATAATATTTAAAAATAAATAAATAAATAATTAAGTCATAATTGAATTTTAATGCAAATAAATAAAAAAATGAGAAAAAGATAGAAAACTACTTTAAACTTAAAGTAGATACATGTAAATATGTAAGTAGCTCTGTAAAAAGCTGAATACCTACTTACTCCATCACAAACGTGCAAAAACGTGTAAAATGATTATACATGATTTAGTTTAAAAATTTTGCACGACAAACGCGATTAAGGTGTCATTTTAAACCAATATGCATCGAGTTTCGGGAGGTACGGGCAATTTGCTCTTACCAAAGAGAATTAAGTCCGCTCGATGTACCATTTGAAAGCTTCCCCGTAAAAGATAATACTCAACCATGGCCAACCGTTGAATATCACACACCACCTCGCTTCCTACAATCTAAAACAAAGAATTCAATAAAGAAGAGTAGAAAAATGAGCGATTGCTAAAAATATAGCCTACAAAAGAACTCTGCAATCGAAAATACATCTTCTAGTAATTTTTGCGATCTTCTACCCTCAAAGTATGTGAGAGCAATTGAGAAAATTAGATTCGGTCGTGGCCGAATCACCGCTATCCTCAAATAGACTAAAAAAAAAAAAAAAGAAAAGAGCAGATGTTTCTTACCCGATACTATTGGGCGAACTTGGCTGATGTTTGCTATTGTTAGAACAAAAGGAGAAGCTTTTCTGGTATATGTATTGTATTTTATGAGTGAAAAACCACAAACGCGGAAAGTAAATGTGTTCTCAGTTTTTGTCACGTAGGCATAGGCATGAGTGTTGTAGACTTGTCTTTTCAAAAGTTTGGTCTATTTTCAAATTCTTTTACAAAATTTAAAGGCGATATTTTCATTTTTGCAAACGGGAGAATGTTTATCATTGATACTTGGACGAAAAGACAGAAACACAGGTTATTGTACTTAGATGAGATAGGACATTAAAAAAGTTACATTGAAAAATAGATATTGATTCAATATAGCATTGAATAGGATTGATCAGTTTTCCCCGTTTTTCTACAAGCACTACAGCATCACTCACAGAATATGCGTTCAAATTTTTGTTTTTTTATCTGCTGTGATTCATGAGCAATGAGTTTCCTTTTCAAAAACAGAGGTGTTCTCAGTTTACATGATACATGTCTTTGGACCGACTTGGGCGTTTTTCTGTACCAACCTGCATGCAAAAACTTGCAATATTTCTACCAAATCTCAAGTCGATAGCACACGGAGTAAATGACATTCTTAAATCGATTCACAATTTGATGCTGACCAAGAACACAAATACTTCGAAGCTTCCTTCTGAGTGCTACAAACATTGTGACAAAATGAATAACACATTAATGTTATATCAATGGTTTTGAATTTATTTCTGATAGTTTATAAACTATTTTAAAATCAAAACTTATTAGATAAATTTATATATATATATTTGCATATATATATATATATATATATATATATATAAAGTATCTTAAGCATAAGCAAAAGTTATTAAAAGCATAATGCCAACGTCAAAATATATATTTGCCGAATAGCGTATTGTTCATTTATGTTATCGAATGACACAAATAATATGCAATTTGACATTTTGAAGTGTGCCACTTATAATTTTGACTTTACTTTATTATTATTTTATTTTTGTTTATTTGTTTTTGTTTTGGTTATTGTGTTTCTTTAAAGCCGACACACTACTCCCTTACACTTTAGGGAAGAAAATTCTTTGTGCAATTAAAGCAGAAAAACGTGTACGCGGTATATAAAATGTGCCTTAACGTAAGTGTTGCAACGCTGCAAGGATGATATATGACGATAATGAGCAGACTTAAAGGGCTGTATCTATAAAAGCAAAAGAAAGCTGTCTAATGACTAGCTTCAATAACTTAATCCTCCGCTGCTGTGCGTAAATATGCAAAGAAAGTCCGCAAATTAGTCCTAGAAGCAGTTGCAAAAATCATTTTCAAACAACAACAACTTTATCGAATTATTATGAATTTTTGTTTAAGTTTTCTTTAGTAAAACAATAAAATTATAATTTAAGTTTAACACGAACACGACCAATATGTTCTAACAAACTTTGTATTGTACTTATGTATTACAAAGTTTTTCTTTTATCTATTATATATAGCGCATGTATATACGTATATATTATGTATGTCATATAAAAAAAACCCATATTAAAACTCGGGACTTCAAGTCATGAAGGCCTTTCTTCGCAATGTCGCATTTTTGGCAAGTCAAAATTTTTCTATGAAATAAAATTCTTAATATAGTTTCTTATTATTATTATTATTATTACTATTATAAATTTAGCGAGAGAATAAATTCTAAGGCTAAAGTCTTAAAGCATTTTCGATTTTTATTAAAAACTCTACCGTACTTGAAACTTGAACCCATGATCATTGAGTTGCTAGTCGAGACTCTTGCTTACTCGGTCACTCAGGCGGATAGTTTGGTATAATTTAGAAAACTCGTCCAATATAAAACTCAACAGCATTTTTGCTGCAACGTAGGATATTAGATGATCTTAAGTATATTATTAAGTCCAGAAGGGAGTCAAATTTAATTCACTCATTTCATCGATTCTCATAAACGAAGTGTGCTTATCGTAGAGCGCATAAGAAATGGCACAATAAGAAATCATTTACGATCTGCTATCGAATTACATTCTTTACTCACTCAGCAACGTATCGTTCAGTATTCATTACCATTGCACACATTTGGATCTTGTGCACTACTGCTATAAGACATTGTACGTTTAAGAGGAAATTCGAGAAAGCGATCGTTTACTATTTGCATTGCTTTAATAAATTTTACTGAGTTAATGAATGCAACTTTTTAGTAAATAAATTCGTCAAGAACATTGTCTTACCGCATACCGCATATAAGCGTACACTACAAACGCCATAGTTTGGTTCAGCTAAATTTTTATATAAATCCTTTGCATTCTCAAAATTGTGCATCATTCGTGAAGCAGTCATTGCGCGTGCTCTATTTAGTTAGTTTTGATCACTGCACACATTAATTCTTCTCATGAGCGATTCCAAAAGAATATCTATAGAAGAGTACTTGCAAAGGCAAAAGCAAGTCAAAGAACAAAAAGCAACAAAAATCTGTAAACAAAAGCCTAGAAAGCGAGGAGGAAAAATGGTACAGGCCAAAAGAAGAATAGCATATCTCAGAAAGAAAATAAAAAGCGCAGCATCTTTGGAGAGAGCCATGGAATGTGAAAAAGAAATTCAGGAGCTAAACACGTGGATCAAGAATAAAAAAAGTAAAACCGATCTAATCGAAAACCTGGACAACCAGCCGCGACCGTCAATATAAGCAAAAGCTATATAGGGTTTTGCAAGACAGCAAGCAGAAGATAAGCATACCTTTTAAAATTACATATATATATATATATATATATATATAAACATTTTGTGGAACAGTGACTCAGTACATAAGTATGATACGATGAGTAAAGAGTGATCAGGAAAGAAGTGCCGCATAAAAATAAATAAACGCGAACAAAATTTCAAATGAAAGGTATAGATGAAGTAAGCACTTAGATAGGCGTAGGCAATATTTCTCACTTAAACGAGAAGTAGATATTGAGAGTAATAGCATAATATAAGCAAAGATAAAATATATTTAGAAAAAAGCGCTAAACGTTTACCTGAATGTAAGTAATATTAGTAAACCTGCAACTAAAATATAAAAAAAATATTAAAGAGTTCTAAGTAAATGAAACAACGGAGTATTCCTTGGATTAGATATAGTTGCAAATTTCAGCCCCTTAACCCTATTCTTACCAGGGGTTTTGATAACGACGAATCGTACTACGATGTGTCTTATAAGCATTGTGAGAATAATTTAATGTAATTTTTTTATTTATAATTTAAACGCCCATTACCATGATCGTAAAAAAGAGGAAAAGTATTACATGGGCGTGGTTGCTTTTGTTCTACTTTTAGAATAAAAAAGACAATAAAAGGCAAAGCAAAATAAAAGCAAAAGTAAAGTAAAAGGAAAAGTATTTGTTGAACTCGGTAGACAGCATTGGCAATACGTTATACGTTTTGTGGAAGAGTTTTACAACATGCAACCGAGCGTTGTTTTTACGAAGGTGTTACGGCTAGACATAGCAGCGAGTTGTTTGCATTACAGACGTGTTTTAACACTGATCCTGACGGCAATGCCGAGCTTTAATGGGCTGCGCTAGGCTGCGCCCACCACCTCTCTATTTCCTCTAAGCAATTGATTATGTAAAAAAAAACCTGAAATGTTGAAAGCCTACTGTAACTCTCTTGTCTGTGATGTGATAAAAACTGCCAACTGCTTCTACTAATTTCTGAAGCTCGCTTAAATTTAAACAAATTCATTGGAACCTTGTAATATAAACAATGATTCCATTTCGTTTTAAGCAAATAAACTTGATTTTTTTTGTATAGTAAAAATTGCTTAGTTTTAACATTCAAAAGGATTTTACTTGGGAGTCTATTTGTTTCAACAAAAATTTGATCAAAATATAAGGAGCAATAACTCTATATAAAAATATATAAAGCGCGTGAGGGAAATTGGTAGAAATTGGAAAATTTAGCAAACATCCGAAGTGTTTAAAAAGATTGTATGAACCTGCGTGTTCTTCTTTCCCAAAAATACAAACTCAATCATGTCCGCGAGTGCAATTGCAGTCGTTGAATAGTTAAATAGAAGTTAGCTTGGAGTTTCAGGTTTCTTGTACTGCTTGACGAAACATTTTCCCTGTATTATAGAGCTTTTACGAACTCGCAAGTTCTCAATGGTTGGAATAATATCACCGGTAACTATGTTAGGTAAAAGTTGTGAGATGTCGCGACCTTTTTGCTTAGCCATTTGGTAATCTCCAGAATCAAAATATTTCTGCCCTTTGTGCAAACGTTTCATCACCATTATGTTATTAACGTTGGAGTTTCTCAATATCGGATATTTTGCTTTCAGTTTCTCCTCTTCTCTCTTTTCCAGTTCGTAGGAAGTGATGCACTCCTGCGATGCTTCATTATTTGTTACAATTTGATTGTTACCATTGTCTTTGGAGAAATTCATTGCTGTTGGAAGGAAGAAAATCAGAAAAAATCACACAAAGCCAGAAATAAAGTTTATGTAGAATTTTTCTTTTTTCAAATTGTTACCCAAGATTTCAAATTATTTTGAAATTTTAAGAAAAGAGAACACATTTTGAAAATTCTACATATTTTGTGATCTTGTGAGTGCTATTATATCACATATATCGTAAAGAGTTTTTTACATTGTATATTTAGCGTATTAAGTTTGTGCGAATGTATGCAAAACCCAGAAGTACTTGAGATTGGCCCGCCTATTAATATAGCGTTCGGTTCAGAAAGTGATCCTGAACTTGCCCGTCCGTCGCATTTCCTTGGATTCACTCTGTAGACTATAATTTTTTACGTATTTTGATGAAACTTGGTACACTGAGGTCTTTTAGTCCAAGAACTAACGATATTGAAAATGTCACCGATCGGACCAAATTTTCAACCGCTTCCCGCATGGCACCTTATTGCGAAATGTCATTATATGAATAATTATACGATGGTGTAGGATATTCAAGGGTGAACCGTGGTCCACTATAGCGTTTTTACTCTTGTTTTTTTTTATTCACCACTGCAGGAGGTCACACAAACGTGTGCGTTTGTCACCATTTTATTTATAATTTTCTTTTTTATTCCCTAAATAAAATGAGATGCTAATGTTGTTCACTGTTTGAAACTATTACGGTTTGAGAGGTTTCTCCTTTTCATAGATGACTTTGATGATGTTGAAATAATGCTTCAGCGCATATATAAGTGCATTTGTATAAAGAATTGAATTAAATTTATGTACTATTTCTTGATTTCTGCATAACTTATGCGCAATTTATAAATAATACCAAGTTTTTGATTTATCCATAAAAACGATTATGTCAAAATAAACGAAAAATGTGTTATTGTAGAAAGAGGAATGAAGGAAAACGGGAAATTTATGGAAAATATGAAAAAATCATCGAAGGAAAATTTGAAAAAGGCGGAGGAAAACTTACGTTACTTGAAAAATGGATAAATAAAAAACAAAAAAAAAGGTAAAAACTTAGATTCGTAACTTATTTTGTGAATTTACTTTTCTCTATAAGAGAAAGATTAGTATTTTCTTTACAGTGAAAATGAAAGCAATAATAGCTTTGAGAGAGGGAAGCGCAACTGGAAATCCTCATTCCGTATGATTTTTGTCGAATTCCTTATTTGAATACTATAAAGAGTATAACAAAAACAATTTTGTTACTTTTAAAATTTATTGACTTAATCCCTTTCTACGTTTTGTATAAATTTTATATATATATAGTGTAGATATATAAATTACATATACTTTTGTATATTCATGTCTAAAATCTCACTTGATTGACTCGATTGTAAGCTATAATAAGTGCTCAGTGAGAGGAGGCGCATGCATTACTCTTACCGACTATTTCCATACATCCTCACTTCTTTTCGATAACAACATGTTGCGCTTATAGCGAAGAACGGCTGAGCGATTGGTCACATTTAACGAAACGAGAATTATGTAAATACCCATATCTATGTAAAATATCCGTGTACGTTTATGAAATTTGTAAATATGTAAAAATATTTGCCAACAATTTTCTTTTTCCCAACACTAGAACTACTGACTTTTTATACCTATAATGTATATATATGGCGGTATATGCCTATTTCTAAAAAAGTGCGTCAATTTGCCAAAGAATAACAATTTGGAAAATTCTTAGCTAAGCCGTCACCTTGATTTTTGTAAGAAACGAAGTGTGCTCCCACGCGCTGCTCTATCGATCACTTTACGTGCACCTTTAGTAGCGCCTGTATATATAATACAACCCTGAAGGACTCGCGTGCTCTTTTTGTCATAACTTTTGCACCACAGAAAACGAAACCATACAAAGTGTAAACGAGACCATATTAAGTGCACATAGTCTTAATCAGCAGGAATATCTGAATCGATTTTATCATGTCTCTCTGATGGACGTTATTGACTTTCTCTTGATCGCAAAAATCAAGAAATCAACTTCAAATTTGGCAGAGAGTTTGAAAGTTTTTGCAACCAAGCTAGTATTGAAAATGGACGAAATCGGCCAAAGGATTTGCCTACAGCACAACCTTCAGCAAGAACATCACATATTTCAAAAACAAAAATAATTGGAATTTTTTGTTCGTTGCTCGTACACTATCACGTATACAGTGATAAAAATCTACAAAAGTGGAACGATCACACTCATGCTTCTCGAATGACGGGAATTATACATACTGTAGGAAACGTAAAGACAAAGATAAGATTAATGTGGAATTTCAAACTCGTTTAATATTTCATTTTTGTTTACTTTTTTTTTCGTTTATTTCTTTATTAACATAGAAAGCTGTATACGTGCTGTACCTAATCTTTTGACATAATACAATAGGAAAATTTTATAAATTTTGCTTCAAATATTTTCCTTGATGTCCTTTAGCATTTCGGAAGTTAAATAAAAAGTTCTATTATAATCAGATCACATGATCTTCCCTTCTATATTCCCGTACATGAGAACGTGGCAATGTCTTTTGAAAAAACCTAACTTTTTCATGCTTCTTTATCATCAAATTTGGACCGTATATGAAAACAGATTGAAACCTTATGAATACAAAACGAACACATTTTCCAATTTTGAGAATATCTAGTAAAATTTATATTAGTTTGGGGAAAAAGAAATCCATTATTTTTATATGAACTTCATGCTTCGGTAAAATGTACCGAATTTTCTCTTTGTTCACTTCCATTTTTAACACGCTGTAACTCACAGCTGAATGCACCAAACAAAAAACAGCAAAAGAATTTTTTTACTGCGAAATGTACGGTATGTAAATGTACAGTATCGGAAATTGTTTGATCGATACTTTACGAGAAATCTATGACTACAGCCATCTACCGAAACAATAATGGATTTCTTTTTCCCCAAACTAATATAAATTATTTTGTGTAGCTCTTATAAATATAAACAGGCATGCAGAGCATGTAAGCACAATAAATTGAGAAAGATTTGTTCCAGTTCACTGTCGCATTAAGAATATATTAAAGTGCATATCATGCAAAAAATAAAGCTGATTAGAAGAAAAGGAAAGCATATAAACCAATAATATAGTAGGAAATGAGATTAAAGATAAAAAAAAACGGGAAATTGTATCAATAAAATTCTCTTCTCGTAGATGAAAGACGAGCAGCAGATTTCGATTTCGATTGCTATACCTGAAAAGCAATTTTATGATTACTTGCGCTGCTTATTTTCCAACAACTGCGATGTGGATGTCTATTAAACTGAATGTGTGCACAGATTTTTCAAAAGCAGTAAAAGTTCAATGCCATCATATTCAACCAAAAAGGTGATAATCAACTGAGCTTAAGAGAAAACTTAAACTTGAGTGTAAAAATTTAATATTGACATAATAAGGTATACATCGCTTAAGGTAATTTCATTAATAGCGGGTAAAAAGGTTACACTCGCGTACGGCCGGCCGTTAAATACTCTCCACCACTCCGTTTGTTCTTTTAAAGGTGTACCCTCCGATGAGAAAGAGAGAGAGAGAGAGTGGAGCTCAAGACATGAGCTGGAGGGAATTTAGTCCTTTTATCAAAGACATTATTATTCCTTATCTATTTTCATTATAAAGTAAAAAATAGGTTGCATTTTCATGTCAAATTACAAACGTGGGTCAATTGTAATCAAAAATTATTAAAAGTTAGGCGATTTTGAGCCATTTTCCGTAGGAACAGTTTTGACTACCTATTTCAAAACGGATCAGTGTGGCAAAGTCGGTCAACAGTTTTTGAAAATTTCAAGAACCTGTAGATTTTAGTCGAAAGCAAATTATAGGGATATACATCAGATGGACCCACGGATAGACGGATATACAAGCGGAGGGACATATGAAACGGTAGATCTACAGACAGCTAGACATACAGATAGACCAACAAACGCAGAAATAAACTTGAATCTATCCAGAAATTGTTGCCGAATCGATCGGTATAATAAAAGGGGGAACTCTCTCAAATGAACTCTGGGTGTTTCGTACATACAGACATGTAGGGTGTAAAATGCCGGTATGTTGGCTAAGAGGTGATTAAATTGATAATAAATTTTAAGCCAGGAAATCGCCTCATTATTCACATATGGCTAAATGTTCTCTCACCACTGGCTTCAGATTTCAGAGTAAAATATTTAATTATACTTTCATTCCCGAAACTTTACGTTTCCAACACTAATTATTACGTTACAGTCATTACATTCGATACTTGAAAGATGATATTTGTATTGCAAAGATTATCTAGGATTAAAACACATATTTTTTGTTCGAACCGACTAACAACAAAACATTTAATACTCAAATAGGACACGCAATAACCCAGTTTGAAGGTCTTTAATAGTGTAGCTTGTTTGGAGTTTTTTTTTTTCATATGGTTAAAGTCTTAAACACACAAATTTATTAATAATTTTTGTATGCAATGCAATATTTAAATGAAAGTTGGTCGTTTGTAAAGTGCCAGTTTTTGCATCCTAAGGATACTAGTTCGATTATAAAATGCCGCGTTCGCGATCTTTGGATTTTCCGACGGACATTCTCCGATTTTTATCTTATTAAAAGTATGCATCTGCGTAATTTGCACATAGTTTGATTGTTATTTCAGCTTTGCAGAGCAGTTATGTTGAGCAAAAATGAATCGATTGCAAGCTGAATAAGTAACAGGCTCTAAGGAAATATCTTTGGCAGGCAAAAATAATTTCTTGTCTCAGCTGATGACGTTATTCTGTTTTGTTGTCGACACTCAAGGCATCTACTAACTCAAGTCGTAATCTTGCTTGCTTGTATACAGGTCTTAGCATATGTACCAATGTATACACTTACCGGCCGCATGGTTACCAGGGTTGCTTAGCAGCGTGGCTTTCATTTAATTTGAATATATACTAAGAGTGAATTTATTAAATTGCATTCTTAGAAAGTTTTTGCGTCACGTTGAATCCCCCACATGCTGCA